AGGTTAGTGGGTACCCAAGGCTGCCAGGTTAGTGACTGGACCTGGAGCTCTGGCCTCCAGTTTCTAGCTGGACGGTTTTGTTCTCACCCCTCCCAACTCTGACTCTCCCACTGCTCCCCTCCTCCTTCTGTTGTGCCAAATAAATGCAAAGTGTAAATATTGAAATAATTACTGGGCGGTAGTCCATACTCTCTTTTGCAGCTGATCATTTGTTTTGATAAGATTAGGTTTTAAATAATAAACCTGTTCACTTTAGGGGAGATAATTCTATGTGTACATTAGTGTTTTTCCACCTACAGTCTCAGAAATTTGTTTACTGTAAAAGATCTTTAAATTATGAAGCATGCATGTGTAGGTAATACAGGTGGAAAATAGTGCCTTTTGTTTTTCAAATAAAGTCTTTAAAAAGCTTTTTTAAAAAGTTACATGAAGCTTATATGTCACTGATTCTTCAAAAAGTTATCATTTTAATTAACAAGAAAGTATGATTTAGAAAATACTTGGTAACAGTAATACTTAATTTTTATTGCAAGATAAATATGTCAAAAGAATATAAAATGGTAGTCTTAAAATAATGCCCCCTTTCAGAATTAATTTTTTGTTCTAAATTTTGTTTTGCTGAAAAAGTAACTGGCAAAAAGAAGAAAAGTCTACAAATGTGTGTTTTTTGAAACGTAAAGGTAATTTGAATGGAAAACCTCAAGTTGATGGTAGCAGGCCATCTGTGGCCAGAATTTTTTGTAGTCTTAGAGCAATACATTTCAGAATGTATTTAAGGAAATATTTAAGAGACTTTTTGACAACATTGAAAATTTTTAAAAAGAAAAATCGCATGAAGTCAAAGTTAAAAAAATGAATGAGAACGGAATTTCGCTTTTGGAAACTAACGCAAAACGCCCCAGGTTTCTTCTGCTAACACACCCCTTTGGGCGCTCCTTTGCTATGATTCCAAGTTTTAAGATTGAAAAGGAGGTCACTGCCAAGTAGTTTACCAAAACGCGTTCTGGGTGGAATCGGGGTCCCTTCTGAGGTGTGAGTCGGCAGCTTTTACCCAGGAAAGATCTGGCGCGGACAGGAGGGGTCCCCAGATCTAGCAGCCTTGTTCCCTTCCCCGCTCTGCTTTCCTGCCCCCTCCCCGCCACGAGGGACTGGTGGTGTGCCTAGGGCTTCCCAGGCTCCCCGACTGCGGCGCTCAGGCTCTGTCTGAAGACTGCTGGGTTTTAGGCATGGCCCGGTGGGGGCGGGGATTCTCCTGAGAGTGGATGAATTTTAAAGAACATCTGACGTCTCATAGATAAAAAGCTCAAATTATTAATGATATGTGTGAAAGATTCAGTAAAGAATACTAGGTTGGCTGTGTTTTGCCCTAGTGGTGAAGGTAAGGATTTCTTTTGTGTGTTACGGAGAACAAGATGACATATGTAAAGCTCCCTTAATGAATGAGACCACACAGCCTTTTCTGGTGTGACGACTAGACTTCTAGAGAGAAGGTGGTGGACTAAGGGATAAAGGAACTGGTGACTGGAGACAAAAAGATGAGAGGAAATTACTGCCCAGAGGAAAGGGCAGATTGACCCTGGGGACTTGGTGCCCTAGAGGCTTGGGGACCCTGGGGGCATAAGCTACACCAGTGGGCTTTGGCTGTTGAGACACAGCTGGGTTGCTGCAGACTTGGCCTTATTTGCTAGTAGGAGGGGATAGGACTAGTGGCTCACAGTCCTACCACGGCCCCTCTGAGTTTTCATAGCTCGGTTAAGAAAAGGCCTGTGTACCTCCCTCCTTTCTAACATAGAGAAACCTCAATGTATTAACCAAAGGGCTGATGATAGATAATGTCTTTGACCAGCCCCCCGCCCCCCTTGAGGATTTGGTGTAGGACTTGAGCTCATTTTAAAGACATTTGGAAGAGCTATGATAAATCAAGCTTTGAAACATTTGTCTTTCACAGGTATAAAACATGCGTTTTGAGTCAAACTCAGAGCTTTCTAAGGCACTAAAAACAAGTAGGAAATGAGAAAAAAATTAAAACCAGAAACCTGAGGAAGGTGACAAATTGGAAAGCATTGTAGGAGACTCATCAGAACCGTTCTATGTGAAAGACACACTTGAGCTTTCAGAGCTAAGGCCAGTTTATGAAAAAAGGGCTCTCGGACTCAAAAGATTTGGGGAGAGGGCAGACAAGACAAGACAGATCTCCTTAAAGACAATGCCATATCTGAGTTTGTGTACCCTTCATTTCTCTCCCTTTCCAATGCCCCCCCCCATTTCTTTATCTGGCCTTCTCATACCTCCTTCTCTCTTTTCCCAACCTCCAAGGTATGTTCATAGATGTGCCCGAAATGCTTTGTGAAGTATTTCTCAGTGTTTCCAGTTGGAAAGAGCCTTCTACATAACTTGAAAGGCTGATGTCCCGCTCAGGAAATGAATGAATCGATAACCTCTGACACCAGTGACCAGTCCAGTGAACCCTACCTTAATGTTTCGAATACTGGAGGCTCTTGGTGTGAATCACCTGACTGTACTATTTGCTATAGTTCAGCCCTGGTAATCCATACTTTATACTCCCTATTGGCATATCTGAAATTTGTCAAATTTAACAATGCAAGGACTCAGAATGCACTTAATAGTGGGTTTGGTTTTTTATTAGCAAACTTTTACAAATAAAAGCAAACTTGTAGATGAAATGTAATTTACCATAAATAATAAAACCAAACCTTACACTTGTTAATTTTATGATACTTTTCCATAAATAACAGCACTTCATCCCAATTTACATAAATACTTTTCAGGGTATTTTTGTGTGGTGCTTTCTTAAAATTAATTCTTTAAAATATAAAAAATAACATTTAGAATTTTCTGTCATGTATTTTATGTAATGTTTAACCTTTAATGCCGTAAGTACATGTAGTAATTACAATAGTACCCCATTTCTACTGTTAGAATCCTGCCTAGTAAATGCTTTGTTAGCAAATAACCTTTACAAAATGTAGAGCTTATTACCCTTGGAAAATCATTTGGATTCTTACTTTTATTCTCCCTGTCGGCTGGCACGTTGTTACTCTTCTCAAAGTAAATAAAAGCTTGCCTCCTTCCTGAGGGCAACAAAAGAAATAAACAGATGAAAAATCTTTCGAAATTGATCAGTTTTGATTGACACCGTTTATCACAAACAGCTCAAAATAATTTATTTCTCTATGCATTCGTTTTCTTCAAATCTGAGCCAATGAGTTTAAATTTATTTTTAGCCGTTTACTATGAGAAAGAGGTGTCATTCGGAATCCCAACATTTTAGTTTATGTGAAGCACTGTTAAGTGCGTGTGGGCTTGCTTGGAGAGATGGCCAGGGGGAAGGAGGGGGACTGCGGGCGTGGTGGGGGAGGGTCAGCTGGTAGCTTTGGGGAAGGGAAGTGGTATCTGTACAGTTTTTCCGTAAACTGCTTGTTTAAGAAAATGGGGGATGGGGTGGAAAAAGACTTGATGGGTACCTTTTAATGTTTCAAAATGGATATTTTAAAGGAATATTTAAAGGACTAAAAGCATTTCTAGTTAATATACAATATTGTAATATTGAGGAGGTACTTAATATTGTAATCAGCATTCATAATCTTTTGAGCCAATTTCAAAAGCAAAAATTGTTTTGAACCTGGGGGACCAGAGGGAAGGGATGGGAGGAGCCCAGGGCGTTATTAAAATTTCGTATATTCGACTGCTCCACTTGCTACTATTAGATTTCAAAACTGACAGGGTCCAGTCAATATTACACAAATTTACCTTTACCCCCACGTGCCTCGGTGCCCCCCCCCCCAGCACCACAGGCTTTCTTCTCCCTCTCCC